TGGCAACTATAGTTGCCGCAGTTTATAGTTGTCATTTTCCTTTTGTAAGTATTTTTCTAGATGTTATCCACGTTTTATAATCATCATTCATACACGTTACATAATCATGAAGGTCTCTAGAATCATCCAAACAAAACAAATCTTACAAGAAATCTATAGTCTTTTGTATACTTAGTCTTTTGACTAATTGGCAACTATAGTTGCCGGTGGGCAAATGACTTGTAAGTATATCATGGGGAAATGGGGTATACTGTGTTAATAGGCTAATACATAAAGGTAATTGGTATTGTTTAGTGCTTTTTGCTTTCATAATATCCCACCTAAAACATAACTTTAAACATAGGATTTATTGCTGTAGATATCTTTTTCTTCCTTTTCTGATATTATGTCTTGTAAGGGGCAAAATATTGAGGCCCCTTCGTCCAGTTTGGATGCGTTTCATTCTAATCGGACAAGGACCCTAATTCTTTTTATGACTAGTAGCTTATAATTCTATTATACACTCTAAAAAATGCTGAGTTGTTTCAACCCAATGTTGGGTCAAATATGGACTAACCCAACACATTTTTATATGGAATCACCTACTACAGTCAGCCATTGAATACTATGGGCCTAAAAAATGCACAATTTTCTTTCAGGTATAGCTTTTTTTGCTATATAGTTGTAATCTTTTCTTCGTTCTATTTATTTGTATTTATTTATTTTCATTTAACTTTTTGATACACAATTCCCTGGGGCAACTTAATGGCTGCACTTTGTTCTGCACTATGTTCCACCACTTTAAAACAAATGGATTTGTTGTTTGTTGTGTTTTCATATTCAAGAGATAATAAGGTAGATCAGAATCAGAATCAGAATGAGCTTTATTGCCAGGTACACGAGGAATTAGTTTTTGTGACAGAAGCTTCCACACTGCAACAGAATGACAGTGACAGGACAAAAATACAGATAATAAAAGAATAAAAAGAGAACAAGTAAATAGGGAATAACAATATACAGACTGACAATTGTATGTAGAGGTATATTACAATACACAGTTTTGTATGTTCTTGGAGAGTAGGGAGGGTTGTACCAATGATTTGCTCAGCAGTCCAGACTATCCAACGTAGTCTTCTGAGGTCAGATTTGGTAGCTGAGCTAAACCAGACAGTTATAGAAGTTCAGAGGACAGATTCAATGATGGCGGAGTCAATGTGAGTGTCCCACTTCAAGTCCTGAGAGATAGTGGTGCCCAGGAGCCTGAATGTCTCCACTGTCGTTACAGTGCTGTCCATGATTTTGAGTGGGGGGAGTGCAGGGGGCTTTCTCCTGAAGTCAACGATCATCTCCACAGTTTTGAGCATGTTAAGCTCCAGGTTGTTAAGACTGCACCAGACAGCCAGCTCTTTAACCTCCTGTCTGTAAGCAGACTCGTCATCGTCCTAAATGAGGCCGATAAGTGTGGTGTTGTCTGCAAACTTTAGGAGAGAAGAGCAGTGGGGAGAGGACACTACCCTGAGGGGCTCCATGCTAATGGTGTGGGTGCTGAATGAGAATTTTCCCAGCTTTACTAGCTGCTGCCTGTCTGTCAGAAAGCTGGTGATCCACTGACAGACAGAGGTGGGCACGGATAGCTGAGTTAATTTGGTGCATAAGGTGCATTAAAAGTCAATAAATCCTTGATTAATATGAATATTTTAATTAAAATCGTGTCTCCACATATTATTCAATAAAATTCTAGTGCGTTTAATCAAATAACAGCAGAGTGAGCAAGTTTTTGGATATGGTAAGATTAAACTTATTTTAGTGAATAAAGTACCACATTTGAGCTATCATTTTGTTAGGGCGGCTACAGCATACAGCTCTTAAAATTGGCTTTTTGTCGAGGGAACCAGTGCAATGCTAACAGCCGATCGGCCTACAAAGTGACGTCATAGTTCCCCCACCCTATAAAAAAATAAAATACATAAAAAATAGTAGGAGTATTTTTTGACGTGGAGAAAGCCTATGACATGATTTGGAAAGAGGGACTTCTAATTAAATTGGATAAGATGGGTATTGGTGGAAGAATGTTTAACTGGATTCATAGTTTCCTTTTTTATAGATCTATTCAAGTCAGGGTGGGTTCGTCATTCTCCAAAACATTATATTGTTATAATATTGTTATTATAAGTGTGTGTAGCCCCATCCTATTTAATATAATGATTAATGACATTTTTTCTCAGGTCAGTGCAGGAGTTGAAAAGTCTCTCTTTGCAGATGATGGGGCATTGTGGAAGAGAGGGAGGAATGTTTTGTATGTGGTTAAAGTATGCAGAGTGCAATTAATGAAGTGGAGAAATGGACAGATAAGTGGGGATTCCGATTATCAGTGTCAAAAACACAGGTTATCTGTTTCTCAAAAAAGAGAAAATGTAACAGTATAAAATTACAGCTACATGGCAAACCTTTAAAACAGGTGAATGTGTTAAGGTATCTGGGGGTTTGGCTGGATTCTAAACTGACATTTGGAATTCATATACAAAAAATTGTTGATAAATGCAAAAAAGTTTGAAATATTTTAAGATGTCTAGCTGGGGTGGATTGGGGGGCCAGATGTCATTCACCAAAGAGAATTTATTGTGCACTAATTAGGTCAACCATAGATTATGGATGTATAGTATATGGGTCTGCGTCCAAAACATTGCTGCATAAAGTAGAAATGATTCAGTCACAGGCATTACGAATATGTTGTGGTGCTATCAGGTCTTCTCCTATTCCTGCCTTACAGGTAGAAATGAATGAAATGCCTCTTGATATCAGAAGAATAAAGCTAATGTTGAATTACTGGATATCAGTTAAGGGACATAATGATACACATCCAATTAAAAAAGTGTTGTTAAAATGTTGGGAACATGAATCTGCCGGCTTAATAGTTTTGGATGGATTGCAGAAGAGGAAGCTCTATCGAGAGGGATCATAAATGTAGAATTGAGCCCGACAGTTGTAGTGTCACCCATGTCACCGTGGCTCTTCTCTTTACCATTAGTTGATCTTCATTTGCAAAAAATGATTAATGATAAAAAAATAGGGTAATAACGAAGGATGCAATGGTTATGCAGTATATTGAGCAGAATTATAGTTAAATTATTTCAGTTTTCACTGATGGATCTAAAGATCCAGAAACAGGTCGAGCTTCAGCAGCAGTATATATCCCACTTTATCAAGTTAAAATTGGTAAAAGGGTATCTGATCAAGTGGGTTTACACAGCAGAAATGGCTGCAATATTGTTAGCTACCAGGTGGTTGGAGGATTCTCGACCAATGAATGTGGTGATATGCTCAGATTCTTTCTCAGCATTATCAAGTCTAATTAGTGGGAGATCTTCAAGACAAGATATTCTATATGAAATTATTTTAAGTATGTACAGGGTAAATACATTAGGAAGCAAGATATGTTTCCTGTGGGTTCCAGCACATGTGGGAGTAGATGGAAATGAGGAAGTGGATCATCTAGCAAAGGAGGCGCTGAAATAATCTTCTATAGAATTTAATATTCCACTTTGTAAAGAAGAAGTTAAGGCTACACTGTAAAAAAAATTCTGTAGTTTTTACAAAATAATTTTGGCAGCTGTGGTTGCCAGGATAATTTTGTAAAAAATACAGAAAAATTGTAAACACATTTATGGCCAAAACTGTAAATTTTACAGTATAGAACTGTAATTTACAAACAAGAAAATTTGAATGTAAACCAGTAAATTCAACAATGCACTCTGCTAATAAATCTGTTTTGTACCTTTAACATACTGACAACCACCATAATAATGCAGGTGGTAAAAGAGAAAGCCACATGAAGAATCAAAGCTCATCACAAGTAGCTTCGCCACAAGCAGAAGTATATACTAATATATAGAAGGTGCACAGAGTCATTCATGCAAACACAAAACACCATCATGGTAACACACATGATACTTAAATAATGCATTCAACTTTCATTAAACAACAGAAGATGTAACAAAGCCCAAATATACATAACTAATAATAAAAACTATTAAAAACATGATTATTTAAACAAAATACTTTCAAATGTGGAGTGTCAAACAGGGAATTCTGAGAATATCAGTTTACAGTTTTTTACTGTAAAATATACATTGATTTGTTATTTTTTACAGTGTATAATTAGAACAGCTATAAAAGGCAATTGGCAAGTACAATGGAATGAAGAGGAAAGAGGAAGACATCTTTATCAGATACAAAATAAAATTGGTGGTAAAAGAGGAAGTCGTGGCAGTAGAAGAGAAGACAATAATTTCCAGACTTCGCCTTGGGCATATAGCTCTTAATTATTCCCTGTATAGAATGAACAAACATGAGTCTGGGAATTGCAGTCTATGTGGATTAGCAGAAACTGTAGAGCATGTATTAATATATTGCACTGCTTATCAAAATGAAAGGATAATTCTGGCGGAAGAGTTAAAAGAAATGGGTATAGGAAATATTACACTTAAAAAGCTGCTGAATAAAGGATTGGAAAGTTAAAGTGTATACAAAGCATTAATGAAATATTTAAGAATGGTGCATCTGTTTAATAGGATTTAGAGGCCAATCTATTAATAGTTTATTTTTACTTCTTTCTCTCCCAGCTTAGTCTTTCTTCTTGTTTCATCAATGAATCACACTCCAGCTCAGTAGGTAGCGGGAATGCGCCTTTTTGTTTGTTTGCCAACCGCTATAAAAAGCCAGAAGAAGAAGAATACATTAAAAAATACAGCGCGGACTATTGTGTTTCCCGGAGTTTTATTCAGTCAATTTTTATTGGACATTTGACCAGTATTGACGACAGTTAATTCTATTTATGTATTTTGCTTGTTTGTTGTTGAGGGGTTGAATGAGATCGACTAAAAATAAGTACAAATAAAGTACAAATAATTACAAATGTTCAGTTGTTTCAAAGTCCCTTTAAGGGCATTCTATTTTCTTTGGTTGTTTTAACTGCACGCAACGAAGGGAACGTTTTGGTTGGCCAACTACTAAACGTTCGCCACTTCAGCGTTATCCAGTGAGCGGTGCGCTTCGTCTCTTCTTAAGACATTAAAATACTGTCGAAAGTTATTTTAAACGAGAAAGGAAATGGAGGTAAACGTTGGCGCTTCAAATCCCGCAGTGATCGCTGACGTCTCGTTCTCGTTTCAAGATGAACTGACTGCGACCCTGCAGAACGCGCTCGGTGTCGCGGTAGAGATCGCCGTCGCAGAGATCACCAGACTGCTGGACAGAGCGCTCAGAGACGTGCGAGGCAAAATTCAAGAGGCTCTGCGGGACAACAGTGCGCTCAAGTTTAGGCTACAAACAGCTGAAACACAACTTTCTAATGTGTGTGGTCGCCTGAATCAACAGCCACAGATACTCGAAGATTTTAACGTTAGCAGTCAGATGGTGACGACCCCCATCAGCTGCAGCAGGGTTCAGCGCGGGGGTCCACAGTTAAATACCCTTAATAATGTTCGGCAACAAACCGAGTCCGCTGTGGACTCGGAAAATGTTTATGAGGTATGTGGGCCCAAGGAAACTGATGTATTCCAGCGAGGATCAGTCTGTGGGAACCCCCATGGAGGCGCATGCGCTCAGGCTTCGAACTCGCTTGAAGAATCAACCCCCTATAGATTAGATGAGGCAAATGGTAAGATATTCGGAGACGATTAAAATGCGTACGTTTAAAGGCTTAAACCACTTAAAATGACCGCATGTCAATGATTTCGCAATAACAAACCGCCCCTGTAACACCTGGCACATTTTGGCTTCATGTTTACTCGTTGCTTGAGCATTTATAACCCTGGTGGGTTGTTATTACCCATAGCTTTGGTGCTGTCGCAGTGGTGGTATCTATATACACTCGTATGATAGTGTTCAGGTTTAAAGTTGTTTAAAACATGCAATTTTTACAGAAAAAAAAGACTATTAAAAACGCTAGAGAAAAGAAACTTAATTGGTAAACTAAGTTACCAAACCATGTACGTTTTTTATCACATGATATGTAATTTTATTGTCACGCACTCACATGCATATAT